TAATTTTCCTGTATATTTTTAATGCATTTTCTTTAAAAACTCAAAGAAAATTGACTGAACAGACATTTTCTATGCCGTCCCCATTGTGATACATATAAGACAGTATGCTAACAGAGTCATAGAAGCAGCTGGTTTTTTATTGAATCGCGTCACCTGAATGTGGACGTATTGGATGTTTTCTCACATTCCTGGTTTATTGAGGTGTGAGGTATATTCTGGGAAGAAGGTCTGACCCTCTGTTCCATTTCAAACAAAAAGTGTGCTATGAGTCATTGCTCTATAGTAACCCCACAAGGAATGCCATAGTTTCCTATGTGTGTTCAGCCTGGGCTAAGATTGAGCAATCAGCTGATGAGAAATTAGATAGACGGTGGTGGGATGAGGCTACCCCCGCTCTCAGCTGAAGGCTGAACTGATATCAAGGACTGTGCAAACAAATCGACACAAGATCTTAAAAACTACCTCCAATTGATCCAAGTCAGTTTTTCGAGAAACACCAAGAAGGTACATTATCTTTAGGCTGTTTATGGACTATTTACTGCTTTAAAAGCTATTTGCTGATCACAGATTTTAATTAAAACATCTCCATATTCAAATATTGCATTTTGATTTGAGGTGAAGGATAACCTGATCCCACTGAGGATAGGCTCAAACTATCAGGTGTAAATGAGCCTGAAAAAAAACAAGTTATATCACCAAACTAGTTGGAAATTATAGGATTTTCTGGCTTCAGTTTGTTATAAAAGACATTTGTGCAACACATCTCTATGTACAGAAACTCCTGTTACCGTTAAATAAACCCCACATGGAAGTTAATTCGACACATACTGCCTACTTTAGGCTCATCTATTTCACATATTTGCATACAATATGAACCTTTTTGTGGAGGTGACCTTCAGCATGTGTCCTGCAAAGAAGCTAATTTTCAGATGTTGCTTGAGTAACAGCAAGTCTTTGGCTTGGCCTTTCAATAATGCACATTTTCGTCCTTATGCGAGCATATTGAACATCTTAATAACAATAATCTACAGAGACGCAGCCTTGGAACTTGCAAGAAACTTTCCATCACATTGTTAGATAAACATAAAAGTGGTATGGATTTATTTTGATTCGACAGATTGATGGTTTAGGACACTTATGGCAAAATGAAAGTCTGATCAAAATGTTTTAAATTAGGTTGACATAATTTTATGTCTGACAGGTGAATATTAAAGCCTAATTAAAAATTTTACTTTGTTTATAAAATAAATGCACAACAAAAGGCATCAAAGTAGTTGTAGTAGTAGTTGAGGTATTTGATCATATTAGAATATGATAGCCAATACTTATGTAAACAGAACTTAAAGTGAAATGAGCTAAAAAAATTTAAAAAAGGAATGGCGAGATAAACAACTGCAAATAATGAATGTTGACAGGGTTAGCGGAAGACCAAATAAGTCCAGGAAGTTTGAACAATTATCAGACAACAAAATTAGACAGTGTGTTTGAAATTAAATGGTTTCCTGGAATTGAGTGCATACAATATTAGACTAAAAATAACACGACCGTGGGTGGTTCTAGATGGGGGCCAGCAGGGGCCAGTGCTCCTTTAGAACAGCTTTTGACCCGTGTAATGGCTCCTGTATTATAGACGTAAAACTAAATTTATATTTTTATGAATATATGTAGTGGGACAGAAAACATCACTGAAAAGACCCTTGAACCTGTTCCATATTTTTACCCTCACACTTTTATTTCAACAATTATTTAAAAATGAAGGTGTTTAGCTTTAGTTATATTCAAGGATCTCCTCAGCACTGATTGCAGTTTTCTGGCTGATTACAATCTTTAAAAGGCCTAAAATGCTCATTCCAGTTTGTTATATGTGTTATACGATTACAATACAACTTTGATGTTTTAATCTTATTTTATTGAATAAAAGGAAAATGAGCAGTCAAAGTGAAAATAGTATAGTTTCAATGTTTACAGCACTGATAATGACTGATTATTAGACCTTTGGGGGGTTGGTGGTTAAGATTATTTTGAAGTATCGGCTTATCATCAGTCCAGAGGCGTAGCTAGAAAATCCTAATAGGGGTGGCCAGTCAATAACCAATGAACATTGAGGGGTGGCCGAAAGGCACCAGAACCTCAGGTTCAATCTACACTCTTTCAACAGGAACAAGCTCAACATCCATATTTTCTAAATAAAGACAAACTATACTTTCCTGCAGCCTTTGCTAACAAAAAGATGCATATATTTCAACATCTATGCTGTGTAAATAAAAGGTGTAGTGGACAAAATTCTTTCAGGTTTGAGTTCTGGGGCGAACATATTTCAATTGCCATTACCTACTTTTATCAACAATCATTCCGCAAAAAAAAATTTTTTAAATCTACTAATTTAATGAATTTTGATGTTATTATTTAAGTAGTTATTTACCTATGATTTGGCTGAAGACTCCTAGATGACTTGCAGAGGTACACAATTTTATCTCCATGTTACCCCCAAATAATTCAAAGTTTAGTTCTGAAAAGAGCATAAATTCTGTATCTATCATCTTTAATGTTTGTATATTGATGTGCATAATTAACCGCAGTGTTTCTGTTGTCAAGTCGCTGTTAATATATGAAAAATGTAAATGTTTAATAAGTTTGAACATTCCCCTTCAGAGTGTTACTACTGCCACTGTCTGTATTAGAGGGGGAAAATGGTAGGGGTGGCCAATGATTGGCTATGGCCATCCCTGGCCCCCCATCTAGCTCCACCCCTGGTAAAGACAGAACAGGTTAATACAGGTGCTGGTCATAAAATTAGAATATCATGAAAAAGTAGATTGATTTCAGTAATTCCATTTAAAAAGTGAAACTTGTATATTATATTCATACATTACATACAAACTCATATATTTCAGATGTTTATTTTGTTTAATTTTGATGATTACAAATGACAACAAATGAAAATCTCAAATTCATCATATCAGAAAATTAGAATATTGTGAAAAGGTTCAAAATTGATGGCCCCTGGTGCCACACTCTAATCAGCTAATTAACTCAAACCACCTGCAAAAGCCTTTAAATGGTCTTTCAGTCTAGTTCTATAGGCTAGACAATCATGGGGAAGACTGCTGACTTGACAGTTGTCCAAAAGACGACCATCGACACCTTGCACAAGGAGGGCAAGACACAAAAGGTCATCGCTAAAGAGGCTGGCTGTTCACAGAGCTCAGTGTCCAAGCACATTAATAGAGAGGCGAAGGGAAGGAAAAGATGTGGTCAAAAAAAGTGTACAAGCAAGAGAGATAACCGCACCCTGGAGAGGATTGTGAAACAAAACCCATTCAAAAATGTGGGGGAGATTCACAAAGAGTGGACTGCAGCTGGAGTGAGTGCTTCAAGAACCACCACACACAGACGTATGAAAGACATGGGTTTCTGCTGTCGCATTCCTTGTGTCAAGCCACTCTTGAACCACAGACAGCGTCAGAAGCGTCTTGCCTGGGCTAAAGAGAAACAGGACTGGACTGCTGGTGAGTGGTCCAAAGTCATGTTCTCTGATGAAAGTAAATTTTGCATTTCCTTTGGAAATCAAGGTCCCAGAGTCTGGAGGAAAAGAAGAGAGGCACTTCATCCACGTTGCTTGAAGTCCAGTGTAAAGTTTCCACAGTCAGTGATGGTTTGGGGTGCCATGTCATCTGCTGGTGTTGGTCCATTGTGTTTTCTGAGGTCCAGGGTCAATGCAGCCACATACCAGGAAGTTTTAGAGCACTTCATGCTTCCTGCAGCTGACCAACTTTTTGGAGATGCAGATTTCATTTTCCAACAGGACTTGGCACCTGCACACAGTGCCAAAGCTACCAGTACCTGGTTGAAGGACCATGGTATCCCTGTTCTTAATTGGCCAGCAAACTCTCCTGACCTTAACCCCATAGAAAATCTATGGGGTATTGTGAAGAAGAAGATGCAATACACCAGACCCAACAATTCAGAAGAGCTAAAAGCCACTATTAGAGCAACCTGGGCTATCATAACACCTGAGCAGTGCCACAGACTGATCGACTCCATGCCACGCCGCATTGCTGCAGTAATACAGGCCAAAGGAGGCCCAACTAAATACTGAGTGCTGTACATGCTCATACTTTTCATGTTCATACTTTTCAGTTGGCCAACATTTCTATAAATCCTTTGTTTTTATTGGTCTTCAGTAATATTCTAATTTTCTGATATGATGAATTTGAGATTTTCATTTGTTGTCATTTGTAATCATCAAAATTAAACAAAATAAACATCTGAAATATATGAGTTTGTATGTAATGTATGAATATAATATACAAGTTTCACTTTTTAAATGGAATTACTGAAATCAATCTACTTTTTCATGATATTCTAATTTTATGACCAGCACCTGTAGACTATTCCGAAGAACATCAAAGTCTGGATGCTCCTTATACTTTGCTTTTCCTTAACTAATTCTTGAAATTCTAAAAGCAAATTCCAGAAGTTTTACTGTTCGCTTTTTACTCTAAAACTGAACTTTTTATCGATTATTGGGAGCTCATTGTTAAAAGTTTAACCCTCCCCGCCCACTGATCTGATGTAGTTGATTAATGTTTGACTAAGATGGGGCCATGGCCACCCCTGGCCCCCCATCTAGCTCCGCCCATGCATCAGTCTACCAAAACTAAGGAAATAAGTACCAATTAATCAAGCAACCCTACATTTTAATAATCTCTTAATCCGCTGTGTGACCCCCCCAGGTAAATTAGGTCTGGAACCAGCACTATGATCTTGAGCCTGGATTTTACCCTGAAGGCATCAGCAGAACAGCTGGAGGCCTGCAACAAGTTTCCCTTCACGAAGGGAGCTTAAAAATCCTGTAGAGCACTCCCCCAAAAAGACATTTATTTATGCATGTTTGTTTGTACTTCTTGTTAAACATTAGTCACTCACTGTGCAAATAAAACACGCGTGATTCAATAATCAATAGCACAGCAGCCATGTAACCAGGACAGTTTTTATTTGCCTGCATTTATCCCTCTGTTTCAGTTGGTGAACTCTTCCGTGTGAATAAGGCGTGGGTAAAGTTTAACATCACATATGGTCAAGATCAGTTGTGCTTTGTCTTGGTGTGAGTGACCTCTCTGCGCATTTGTTTGCGCCCACCTCCTCCACCTCCTCCTCCTCGTGCTCCGCAGCTGCTCTCAAAGCGCCGCGCGGCTGCAGCCCTACAGAGAAGATGGGGTTTGCGGGTCACTGGGCGCTGCTCGCAGTGTTTCTGCTGGGGATTCATCACTCCACCGGCTTCTGGATCGTCAACGTCGTTTTCCCTCCCAGCACCAAACCTAAAGAACCGAGCAACGACACTTCCCCGCTCATTATCGGTAAGAGGAAAGGTCGCTCTGGTGTTATTGAATTTATATACCTCACAAATGTCTGAGTGGTGGTTAAGAAACTGTTTCACCCAACTATACTGCATACTACAATATCATTATTTATGGGATTATGTAATCCAGTGATTTATTTTTTCCAACACTGCATTTTTAGATGCGTCTGCTTACGGTTCAGTTAAATCTGTTAATCTGCAATCAATTAAAACAGGTGCGTGAAAGCTGGGGAACATCTAACGCAGCAGGCCAGTGTGCTTACAGCAATAAAAAAAAACAACAAAAAAACAGATTTATCCTATCAAGGCATCTGATCCAATGGCAAAAACTTCGGTAAGCAGAGACTGCAGTTGCTTAGGGGCCCCCAACCTTTTTGGGGCCCCGTCACTGACACCTGGTTGGCCCCCTACGCAGTTGTGGTCTCTTTGCAGATGTAATGATGTGAACAATTCCTCTTAAACCCACCTGATATTAAGTCGACTGACCAGACCTTATTTATACCCCAACACATGTCTGATTTCAACATGATGGTGAGCCGATAGCAAAGCAGATAGTGGTACTTAATAACTGTGTATAGTTCTTTAGCAGTGGTATACAAACATCTGTTACTTAAGTAGAAGTATAGATACTGCAGTTTAAAAACACTCTGGTAAAAGTTGAGGTATTAACTTGACCTCTTTACTCAAATAAAAATGAAAAAGTATGTGCTCCAAAAACTACTTAAAGTATAAAGTAACCTTTAAAAAACAGCCAGATGCCACTATATGAATAGAAAACAAATTTTTTCGACTATTTCTAAAAATTCTTTGATAAAGGGGCCAAGGAGGAGGGAGGTCTTGTTGGTCTCCATCTCCCGATAAGCTCTCGTCTGTGTCCAACCTTTTAGACATTTCAACATCTTTTTCTGAATCCGACATTGTAGCATGGCATAGACAATTTACGTTTGCAGTTTGAAGAACACCTGCTTGCTTCTGATGATTTCCTTTAGCTAACCAATGAGTGTTTGCGTTACATGACTCATCCAATCACACTAGTTTTCACTAGATGTGGATGGCGCCAATGATCTGCATTGGATGGCGCACATGACATAAAATAAATATTTATAAACATTAAACCGAAGCAAAGATTAACGAGTAACGTTTGTTTTAAAAATAAAAGGAATAGAAAGTACAGATACTTGTGTGAAAATGTAATGAGTAGAATTCAGAAGTAGGAAGAAAAATTAGTAATGGAGTAAAGTATCGATATCTAAAAAGTGTGCTTAAGTGGAGTAACAAAGTATTTGTACTTCATTAAATGACACTTCTGTTTTTTAGAAGGTTGGTAAAAAATACTCTGATATAATATGTTTCAAACCGCAATAAAGATCTTAAAATATAAATTTGAGTATTTTATTTTTTACAGTACGACTTGAAACTTCATATAGGGTCCACCTAGATAATGTTGCTTATTGTTGTGTTGTTCCGCCATTGATCTGATCCGATAGTATTCTAATGTCCTCCTCTCATTTAATCTTTTTTTTTTTTCTAAAGTAATATACCCCTGAACTATGTGTGTTTTATTGGGACTTCCTATGACAAAAACGTTCTTCATTTTAAAGTGGCAGGATAAGATACGATCACAAAATTGTCCAAACATGTTCTTCCATACAAAAGGTGATTCTAAGAATCAACCAACAGACCAGGTTAAGGATGTACAGAGAATCACATTTAAAGTTGAATACATTGTTGTTTTTGTCCCATAACCCATAAGAAGTCTTATTTAAAGTTTTGTATAAAATGAACGCAGGGATGTTGACGCTGACGGTTTTGTTCGGCTTTCAAAAGTACCAAATGCACTGCTATTTGCTCTAAGAAATTAAAGGCTGCCATTGTGAAAATCAAAACCCATCAGGCTTGATGGCATAGAAGCCTTTTGCCCCCTGGGCAAATTCACCTGCCTTGAGAATTGCTTTTGCTGACCAGGTGGATTTCAAGGTGAGCAAAAGCAGACAAACTCTGTGAAGATGGCGCGATCTGAGCCTTAAGAATGCTTAAATGCCAAAACTTGGATACTGGGTCAAACTGTGGTCAAGATACTGTTATCCATTTTACACTGGCTGCAAAACTAATTTAAACCCGGAAACAATCAGCTTTTAGTGGCAATGGAAAAAGCACACTGACGCCTGTTCACCTGGGTCAAACAACTGGGCAAGTGACATGCGTCAAAATCGTCCCGGCTCTGATCGGCATGCAGTGGGAACACCCGATCCTGGTTGACACACAAAATTATGTCATAACTTGACTGCAACGTACATATGTAACAACTTTGCGCCGGTAGTGTGTTAAATAACCAGCCCAAAAAAACTCTGCTTGTGTTCGAGAAACATGGCCCCTTGTGATCTGCGGAGAGGAGTTCCCAGGTTTCAGGAACCATTCGAGTATCCTCTGGCTCCCGTCCATGTTGCACTCTTATTATAACCTCCCTGATTTCTGTTGCACTGTCGATATCAACACTCACTCATCCAGCGTGATGCCGTCATTGCAATGCAGTGATGGGGGACAGAGGCCACCCAGCTTGCCAGCAGGGGTTTAGATACAGCTTTATGGCCAAATGGGAAAAGAGCCAAAAGCTGATTGTTAGCAAGTCGACCAAGTTTAAAAAAAATGTTTTTATGTGAGAATGTACACCCCAAAACACCATCTGTGCAGCCAGTTTATCAGTATTATGATCCTACTAAAATATGCCGTTCTTGTTCGGAGCGCCTGACCCCCAGCAAAACGGTGGGCGCCAGCGCATAGAATCCCCAGTGATGGCTCTATGAAGCAAGCAAGCCTGTCTGGGATTTCCCGCTGCCATTTGTAGCGGCTGGAAGTGAATAAAAAGAGTTTTTAAAGTTTGTGGTAAAAACTGCAAGTACCATAATATACAATAGAATATTTTTCGTTGGCAGACTGTAACATTTTTAGTTAATTTGGTCATAAACAATTTGTTTTGCCATAGTTCATAAACAAGTTTTTTAGTGCAGTAATAATGATCACAGCTCGCGCTTTTTTTCTTGTACATAACAATACTTCGGCTCTTTTTTGTAGACCTTTGGTGTTTAACCCCTTTATATTCATTTTTCATACTCAGAAGCAATCACAGTTTGCATGTAGTGTCGGTCTCCCCAAAAGAACTTCTAGATCAGCTTTTCTGACTGGTTTATGCCTCCGCGTCCTGCAGGAGCTTTATGAATTTTAGCGCTCCGATCTATGAATGCCAGAACACTCGGACGCCAGAACAATTTATGCACTGCTCCAGAGGCTTGGACACACAAATGGACCTCTCGAAGTCGTCCCATAGATTTTGCATGTAAATCAGATGCTTTGATGCTCAAAATGCTTTTGGTGGGACTTAAGAAATTCTCAACGTTTTTCTATGTTTTGTCATTTTTATTTATTTATTTATTTTCCAGGTCTATGACTATGAGACTTGTATTAAATTAAATTTGGCATAATGTCAAGGTTATAGTTTTCACTTTGTACAAATTGCTTACAACTTACAACACTTGGTGATTTTATCAATGTGGGCCAACCATCTGTACTGCCATAAACACTGAAACTAATCAGAAATAAGAAAAGAAGACGCCATCTTAGCTGGGGAAGAGAGATCAGCTTGGGAGAAATGAAGTTATGGTGCAACATCTCTCCTTTTATGGGTGATGTTACAAATACAGGTACTGGTCATAAAATTAGAATATCATGAAAAAGTAGATTGATTTCAGTAATTCCATTTAAAAAGTGAAACTTGTATATTATATTCATACATTACATACAAACTCATATATTTCAGATGTTTATTTTGTTTAATTTTAATGATTACAAATGACAACAAATGAAAATCTCAAATTCATCATATCAGAAAATTAGAATATTACTGAAGACCAATAAAAACAAAGGATTTATAGAAATGTTGGCCAACTGAAAAGTATGAACATGAAAAGTATGAGCATGTACAGCACTCAGTATTTAGTTGGGCCTCCTTTGGCCTGTATTACTGCAGCAATGCGGCGTGGCATGGAGTCGATCAGTCTGTGGCACTGCTCAGGTGTTATGATAGCCCAGGTTGCTCTAATAGTGGCTTTTAGCTCTTCTGAATTGTTGGGTCTGGTGTATTGCATCTTCTTCTTCACAATACCCCATAGATTTTCTATGGGGTTAAGGTCAGGAGAGTTTGCTGGCCAATTAAGAACAGGGATACCATGGTCCTTCAACCAGGTACTGGTAGCTTTGGCACTGTGTGCAGGTGCCAAGTCCTGTTGGAAAATGAAATCTGCATCTCCAAAAAGTTGGTCAGCTGTAGGAAGCATGAAGTGCTCTAAAACTTCCTGGTATGTGGCTGCGTTGACCCTGGACCTCAGAAAACACAATGGACCAACACCAGCAGATGACATGGCACCCCAAACCATCACTGACTGTGGAAACTTTACACTGGACTTCAAGCAACGTGGATGAAGTGCCTCTCTTCTTTTCCTCCAGACTCTGGGACCTTGATTTCCAAAGGAAATGCAAAATTTACTTTCATCAGAGAACATGACTTTGGACCACTCACCAGCAGTCCAGTCCTGTTTCTCTTTAGCCCAGGCAAGACGCTTCTGACGCTGTCTGTGGTTCAAGAGTGGCTTGACACAAGGAATGCGACAGCAGAAACCCATGTCTTTCATACGTCTGTGTGTGGTGGTTCTTGAAGCACTCACTCCAGCTGCAGTCCACTCTTTGTGAATCTCCCCCACATTTTTGAATGGGTTTTGTTTCACAATCCTCTCCAGGGTGCGGTTATCTCTCTTGCTTGTACACTTTTTTCGACCACATCTTTTCCTTCCTTTCGCCTCTCTATTAATGTGCTTGGACACTGAGCTCTGTGAACAGCCAGCCTCTTTAGCGATGACCTTTTGTGTCTTGCCCTCCTTGTGCAAGGTGTCGATGGTCGTCTTTTGGACAACTGTCAAGTCAGCAGTCTTCCCCATGATTGTGTAG